TATTGTTGTAGAATGGAGATTCAAAGGGCCCGACGGCGGAGGGTTTTCGATACTGGATTCATCGACCCTCGGAGAGTAAACGTCGCAATGCTCGACCAATATCCACAAGAAACAGAGGACAATCTCGTCCATCTCCTGAAGGCGCAGCATTACAAGACGTTCATACTGTTGCCATACAACACAGAGTTAGTTTAATTTTACTGTCTTCCTACATACCAAATTTCATTCCCGTACGAACTTGCTAAGTGTTTCATATGTAATGCATCCCACGCACATTGCAGATTCCATTGGGTGCTTTTACTCTTCGACCTGGAGGCCTGCACCGTCAACGTATATGACTCAATGGATAAAAAAGAGTCTACGTTTGACAAGGTTTTCGAACTTATAGACAGGTACCATCATAAGTTCCTTTGTTAATTAAGAAAATCTTGTTATGTTAATTGCTACTACGAATCATAGCTTTAAACTCCATGTAGGGCTTGGTATCGGTTCCGTCATTTGGTCCGCGGCAAATGGAGAGAAAGACTTAGGCGGAAGTTCAAATTTCCTGTGAGTACACATGCTCTACATTTATATTTCTCCGATTCAAATACATACAAGTGTATATTAATTAGATCTCTCGTTGTTTGTCATTTATTTGTAGTGCGCAAAGCAAAAGCAGGGAAATAACTTGTGCGGCTATTACGTGTGCGAGTATTGCCACTGCCTTGCAAACCAAATCATCACCACAAGAGAGCTCGATGTACGTACAAATAAATTCAAAATTTCATTACGTAGCGATTTCTTGTTTAATTACTAATCAATTTCATACATTCATATAGTTTATTCGCATGAGGGATAACCTGACCACACACAAGGAATTTATCACGGCGGTTCAAGAACAACTCATGGGATTCATCAACGAAGAAATCCTTAATCCCAAGGGTGAATTCTACTACGACGGAAACACAATTCACCGGTCCTTAGCTTCTGAGCTAGCAGCGAGTACTACTACGTCGAAATGATAGCTAGCTAGCTAGGACATATAATGGATTGTAATTAATACATGACTACATATGTTTCTATATGCATGTGTACACATTTTCTATAATGTAAATATATTTTGGTCATATATATATCTATATACATATGCATTTGCATAACATATATATGTATAAATACATATATATTATGCATGTATATACATATAATATAATATAATATATATATATATATACATATATATATATGTATGCATATATATGTATTGAAACATATATATGCATGGTTTATATATATATATATATATATATATATATATATATATATATATATATAAACCATGCAGCAACAGGGCCATGAAAAAAAAAAAAGGTCAGCTCGATCTTTAGTCCCGGTTGGTTGGCTCAGCCGGCCACGTGGCTGAGCCATCTTTAGTCCCGGTTGGTGTTACCAACCGGGACTAAAGATCGATCTTTACTCCCGGTTATTTCACCCGGGACTAAAGATAGCGATCTTTAGTCCCGGATTGGTACTCCCGGTTTAGAAACCGGGACTAAAGGGGGGTTACGAACCGGGACTACAAAGGGTTTCTCCACCAGTGAGAAAAGACTGCCCACCAAACCAAACCAACAGACCATGGAGTTAAAAAATAACTCGCGGAAAACGTGAAGCAACGAACCCTCGCCCGCAGGACCAAACAAAGCTGAATGTGAAGTTAAATTTTAACTAATACTATGTTGAGTTATGCGCTGCGGTGATTTCGTCGTTGAGTTAAAATTTTACCTATGTTCCGGCTATATGAATGAGTCGTCATTAACTTAAATTACGGGTTGGTGGTTATGTAGTTAAAAATTTACTGGTAGACGATGATCTATGATGAAAAATAACACAGTTATTTTGTAGATTCTTTTTTTATGGATGTGTGTTGTTTCTCATGACAAGGAATGTGAGTTAAATTTTAACTTATCGTAAACTGGTATGAGTAGATGAAAAACTTTGAGACATTAGGCGGTGGTGGCGATGTGTGACGTAATTCACACTTTATTATTAGAATTTTATTGTTTTGATGCACATCTCCCCAGAAAATTATGTCGATGGAAATTAACTGATGATTAATTCACCGGATAGAAATCAACTCCATGTCGCCGGTCCGCCGGTCCAGAAACTACGAAATCCTAGCGTGCATTGATTTGGCGTTAATTCGATAAGCTGTTAGAGGAGGCCCCGGAATAAGCGGAATTTTTTTTCATGCGATACATCCTGTTGTTGTGGATAATGAAGAGAGTCCTAGATCCAAAAATAATACTTGTACACCTAAATTTAGTTTTCTCTCCACAGGGAACGGAATTTCTGTTTCTTTTAGGTATGGTCAGATTCAACTCTCGTACATCATTTAGTTACTTTTACTCACAAATTACAAATAGTAAATATTTTACTCCAAACATTACATATAGTAATTTTTTAATTGTCAATATACTGATATGGAGATTGCATTTTTTTTTTGCAAGATGCCCGGATGCATCTAATCATATAGGAATCACATGTATTAGAAACTAATTACACACAAATAATGCAATAACACATCGGAGAGATCAAATAACAGGACAACGTCCAACTAAAATCAGGAAAAATAATTGATTAATGGCGTTGTTGATCCTGGCAGCTTTCTTCTCCTTCTGGATCCGTCGAATAAAAAAGGTGGCTCTTGGTGGTTTCCAGATTGAGAACGGAAACAACGGGCGGTGGCCGTTTCTTCCGCCGGTGAAGAAGATGAAAATGGAAAACTCGGAGAGAGGCATGCTCGGTGCCTCCGTCTCCATGGATGCCCGCCACTGCTCCATGGATGCCGGAGGACAAGCTCACCGCCGCAATGGTCGCCGCCGTCTCGCCTCTTGCCCATAGTCTTCACCCGTGCAGGTTCACACGGGAGGAAGGGGGCGCTGGATCCGCCGACGCGCCGCCTGCAACCGCGCCGGATCCGCGCCGCCGTAGCCAGATCCACGCGCATGGTGCGCAAAGCGGCGGCCAAATCCGCCGCCACATCGCCTCCCGCCCACAGTCACCCATCGACGCCGCACATGCCAACATCGCGCCCGTCCTCGCACCTCAGCACCACCGGATCCGCCGCTCCTCCTCCTCGTCACTCCTCTCATCCCCGAACCACCACCGCTGCTCCTCCTCGTCGCCAAGCCATCACCGGAACCGCCTCGCTGCCACTCCTCATCCCCTAATCACCGTCGCCGTTCCTCCTCTCTGCACAAGGAACCACAAGTCGTCACTGATCCGTAAAATGTGGAGAGGAAGAGGAAAGAGTGGGTGGACGGTTTCTATGATGGGAATCCGTAATATATATATACCAGATAGAGGCAGTATGTCGAGTTAAAATTTAACAGTGTGGTATGCATCAGATCGAGTGCGCGTGGGGTGGGTAGCTGAGTTAAAATTTAACTGTGTGGTATGCACCAGATCGAGTGCGCGTGGGGGACAGGTTGGGTTGTGGGTTGCAGAGTTAAAATTTAACTTGCGCGTGGGGGTGGGTGGTTGAGTTAACAGTTAACTGTGTAGCTTGCACCAGATCAAGTTCGTGTGGGGGTGGCGGGGTGGTGGGTCGTTGAGTTAAAAATTAACTACGTGGTCTGTTTAAATTGAATGTGTGTGGGGGTGGGGCAGGGGGTTGATTGTGTCAGGCGCCATCTAATACGTGGCGCCTGTAGCGCCATACAATAGTTCTCTCTCTCTCTATATATATATATAGATATAGTAAATTTGTTTGGTGCTCCATAGTGCCCGGGCACCATTGTTGAAATTGAGTATATACCTATATCAAATGAGTATGAAACCTTTTCAATTATTTAGGTATTAACATTAACTACTTTACTAACTAGTTCAAAGCAAGTTTGAACTGAATTTGAACTTGTTTTTGTTAGATTTTGATTCTCGGTATATAGCATCCATACATATAATTAGTTAGGTATGTAATCATGAATTGTGAAATAAAATTAAATTTGAGTTGTTTTATTGATAGGTATATGTATGAATCAAATTCTTATAACTAGGTATATACTCATAATTTGAAAATTTTGAAAAATTTGAGTGATTTTGAGCATTTGAAACCATGGTGCCCGGGCACCATGGTATATATATATATATGTATATATATATATATGTATATATATATATGTATATATATATATATATTGCCCGGGCTCCAAGGTATAAAACACACAAAATCTCTCAATTTTTTAAGAAAATTTAAATTGTGAGTATATACCTAGATATATGAATTTGATTCATACCAATACCTAACAACAAAATAACTCAAACTCAACTTTATTTCACAATTCATTATTACATACCTAGCCAATTATATGTTTGGATGTTACTAGTTGGATGCCCATGCGTTGCAATGGGAAAAAAATTAGGGCAACTTTAAATCTTAGCGAGATGATAAGAAATAATCAGTTCATCGCAACAGAAAATATTATTTTAGCATAAACAACAATTACATCTGATCTAATGATCTTTACATATTCAGCAACAGATACAGTGAAATATTGTGATACAAATATAATAAAACAACACATAATAATTCCAGGGATTCCAGGGGTATCAAGAGGAGCAAAGTTTGAAAATCTACTGAAATATCAAAAAGTATAAACATGAACAGTAAAATACATGTATACCAAAATAGAGAACAAAGCATGGCAATATATTCCTTACTTGAAGTCCACAAAAGCATGGGCAACGTACAATAATAGCTAGATGTCATGTAAACCGCTACAGCGAGGCATACATGTGTCACCACGAAATGGTCCCATAATACAGTTACAACACCAATGCAACAGAGCATTGACCATCATCTAGCAAACATGCTACTTCTAGCAAGATTACCACCTACTTCTAGCAAGCATCATTGCTATAAATAGCTTCCACCGAACGGGATCTTATACTTCCAGCAAGCATATAGCTAGAAATAATCCCCAAAAGATACGGATGCACTTCCCATCTCCCTTCATGTATCATGGAGAAGACTTCCCAGTAAGCTCCATACTGAGGCTGCAAAACCATTCATAATAACCTATATAAGTGAAAATAGTTAATAAAATAAATATTTTGGTCAAAAATCTATTTACCTCTTCCTTAATTCACGTGCAACTGCAACATTAGGATCAAACTGCACCCTACTGAAGCATGTAGTGTGCAGGCTATGGTCTGAAATAAAAGGTACAACAATTATATTACATAATTTTGTTGATCATAAGATCGATGAACATAAAATTAACAAGGACACATCAGCTTACCTTCTTCACGCTTTGCTCTAAGCATTGTTGCTACAATGATAGGTTGCTCATTAGAGCATCTCGCCCATTTAGTTAAATGGTCGGTAAGCATTTTATCCTTAATAACTAACATCACAGGTTTGAAACTACATAAAAATAAACATGTCAAATGCAAATAGTGATAAGAAATTAAGGTAGAAACAAAAAGACATGTACCCCAAAAAAAAAAAGTATGTGCATACCTGCCATCAATTATAAGAATATTCCTATATGGGATCCTCTTCTTGTAGCCTTCCACAAAGCCTATAGAGCTTACAAAGATGACCATTCCAATAACATCTGCACATGTGAAAATTGTGTTAATAGAACTTCTATTTGTCACAAATTAATATTTGTTTGGGTGGTTAGTTGAACTACTTACCAACATAAATGTCATTATGGTAAGTAAACTCGAAAACTTGATCAAGTGGCATAAGCGGAGGGAGTAATGGTAATATCTTCTCATGCATGTTTGCTATCTCAGTAATAGTAGTATCACGTGTGAAAACACACACAAAAGCATGGTCTGCAAGCCACTGATACAAAATCATCCTAGCTGGCTCTATGGACATCCTCGACACATAATATGCGGAACCCTCTCGAAGTAGGGGATCTAAACGATCCACTTGGTCATCATAAATGATAGCTACCATCTTTGTGCCCTATTTATAATAGATAAAGTCAAATGCCATACAGAAATCATTGCACTGTAACATATCAAAGCTCAAAATATATACAAGACCATGACCTGCTCATCCAATAGAACCAAGTTGAGCCTCTTCCTGCTAGGAGCAAATCTCTCAACATGGTACTTATGGTATACTCGAACACCTAGACTCCAACTGCCCCTAGGATGTACGTCACTGAATGTTGGAACAGGTAGTGCTTCTACTCTTTTACGCTTCAACGACCCCATCCTAAATGGCAAAAAATAAATGTTCTGAAAACCAACAAAGATGTGTTGCTACAGCAAACGATAAGGATTATACAGAGGCATATAACTTAACCATTTGTAGCAAGGAATTGGAAACTTATAGGATCAAGCAGAATGCCATTGATTAAATAATGTAAACTACTGTACGTTCATGAAGTTCTCTTAACTGTTTTGCAATAGGCTCATGATCATCAAATCAAGTGCAATTCAGGCTGAAATTCAAGAAATCCCTGCAAACTAAAACTTTTGAAACGGTGAAGTGAACGAAATCTAAAAAGCATTATACTCATCTAAATTACAGCACTGCCATTACCTAAACTACAGCATTACACCTACTACAACTACTACATATGAACATGAAAAGGGGGAGCATTACACCTACTACAGCCACTACATCTGAACATGAAAAGGGGTTTTTGAGTTGTACCTCGAATGAGCTATAGAACAAGATGACAGTGAGCCTAGGAGGCAGCTAATGCAGTGTGCCAAGCAAATAATATATATAGTTGTAGCCGAAAATATTTGAATATTTGAAGTTTTGAACTCCACCCGCCAAGAATCCAAGCCCGCCATCCTCTTCTCCCAGATTGTGACCAAATAATAGGTCGATTTTGTGCTTTCCCCATGAAGAGAGAGGTCTACTGCCCTAACCCGTGCTCCTGTCATACCAGCCAGCAGTACTCCTTGGTAGTATCATCTATCAAGTCTTAAGAGAGGGAGAGACATGCCGTGTAGACCACTCTTCTCCAATCAGACCTGCTACATTTCCAATCAAAGGAGTGTGTGTGGTTAGAGAGGGGGATTGAATGCAGCGAATCAGACACCTGCTAGATTTCCAATCAACGGAGGGTGTGGGGTAAATTGTTAGAGATGGGGGATTGAATGGAGCGTGCACTGGAATGGATGAGACTGATCTTACCTTGGATTCAGAGAGTGATGTAGTACTCCGTAGAGGACTTGTACGCTCATGGATCCTGTTGCAGGCAAGTACTACCAATGTGACTTGTGAGGTCCTTCACAGTACGACGACATGGCCTCTGGATTCGATTGGTGCACGAGTGCTCCGCTGCGACGTGGTCCCCACAATCCGCCGCCGCTCCGAGCCCTGCGCCTCCACGTCGCCCTTGTCCGCCACCGCTCCGCCCCACTGGCAGCCGCCGACAGCAAAGGAAGCGACGGGCGGAGGACGGGAGGAGGGGCGGAGGGAACGACGTCGGCTCGGTAGGGGGAGCGCGCTGCTGGCCCCGCTGTCGCCCTTGCTCGACCGGGCCATCGCCTCCGAGATCTCCCTCATCCAAATCCTGCAAGCCCACGGAAGAGGGAGGGGCGTCGGCTGGGAAACGCGTGCTGGCCGGGGAAGGAGGAAGGGGGCGCCGGCCGGAGGAAGTGGAACGGCGGCGCTGGCCGGGGGAGGAGGAGAAGAAGCGCTGAGGCGTGGCGGCCGGGGGATAAGGAGAAGATGCGCTGGGGCTGGCGATTTTTTTCGGTGGCCCTTGTTTTTCGTTTTCTTTTTTTTTTAGCGCGATTTGTAGTCGTAGAGGACGGTGGATGATAGACTCTGGGAAGGGATAAGGAGGAGATTTTAAGTTTCTTTTTATTAAATGGGTGTGGCAATCGATGATAAATATAAGTTTTGTAATGGAGTGATATCACTATATTTGTACGTATACAATTCAGTTCAATTATAGGCTCTCAATTTTAAATTTTAAATTTGGAATTTATTATATTTGCAATTTTGAATTTTAATTAATGTTGTAGTGGGTTCTATATGGACTCTTCTTCCATTATTACTTAATTTTAATTCAGAATTTTATTTATTTCTAATTGCATTTTTATTTGAACTCTTCTTTTTCTAATTTTGGAAATATATTTTATTTTTTATTTTAAATTTTAATTAATCTTATATCGTACAGAGAGTTGTACAGCAATGTGGGGGTAATCTTCGGGACTGTACGCAATGACTTCTCACTTTAGCACTGGCCGATGGTTTTGGTGTCCTTAGCACTTCTTTGCTGGCTATCACGAGGGTCCACTGTTTGGCGCTTAAAATTTTTGAACTCAGGTGTAGCTTCTGTTTCTGTGGAAGATCTTAGGTGTTTATTTGGCGTCGATACTGGAGTTGATAGGTCTAGATATTGTTCAATGTGGTCCAATAATGGTTGCATTCGGTGGTTATAACAGTTATCCATGGCAATAAACAAGGTTGAGAGCGGTTACTTAGCCATTGCACTGGTTTATACACATACTTACTATTGCCTCGTGCGCTCGGGTACGCGTCTCATTGAGCACGTATTTATAGGGGAGAGGAGGGGGGTCCGGGTGTGGTTACTTTGGCCTGCTTTTGTCGAGCACGTGGGCAAGAGAGAGGAGAGGGGAAAATGGAGAGGAGGGCTGGCGGGGGCTTACTTCGCCGGCGGTCGGGGCCGAAGGTGGCGGAGATCGAGGTGCAGCGGCGAGCTATTCCACCGGTGCAAGTGACGGGTGGCGCTGCCGTTGGCGAGGGCGCTGGAGCGGTTGTGCCTAAGCGTTCCTGTCGAGGGGAAACCTTCCTGGCAGGGGTGGCCATTGTTTTGCGCTGGGTGTGCTCCAGTATGCGATTTGTCGGGGCAACCATCTTCACCATCTTAGCTTGGATGGTTCGCCCGCTGGTCTTGCTCTGGAAATGGTGGCGAGATCTGATCGATGATGGCCACTCTGATTACTTATGCGAGGCAGTTTGTCTCTTCATTGTGTTGGCACCGATTGTTTTTGTTTCTACTCTTAAAGCGCTACTGGAGTAGATAATTTATGAAATGGTTGCCAAGTCTTGGCATGTATCCCTTATGTATCAACTTGCATAATCTCTACTTTAATCTTTCTACACATGTGCCTGATTTGTGTTGCCTGTGAATGTGGGATTTCTAGTTTTTTCTCAACATTCTTAGGCGCTTTTAGGTTTGGCATCCTCTTTATTCGGCGGGATAATCCATTCTTACTCGATAAATGATTTAATGTTAGAAGGGCACTTCGGCGTAAGGGTGATTATGGACAACCATTTCTGAACCACTAAGTCATGGGGGCAAGAGATTGCATTACTCCATATTCAATTTTCTTTTACAACAAGGTACCAGGTAATACATCTCTAGAAAGGGGAAGGGAACTACTAATACTGGATTGGGTAGTGCCAAACAGGGCCTATGCACATCCCTTCTCATGGAGATGGTGGGGGCGAGAGGGGATCAACTTCCAACGGACGCTTCCGACGGATCCTGCCCATCCTCCCGCTCTCGATGTAGCGGGCTATCGTGAACACCTTGCAGAGAAGTAAGGTTGTGTGCTCTTGAGCTAGGCGCCGATAGCGGGATTCCAGATCGGCATATCGATCCCGAAGTTCATCAAGTTCTTCAAGAGCTTGCTCGTAGGCATTCTCGGTGGTGTGGGCTAGCTCGGAGAGAAGGGTGCATCTGCTCCCTTCAGGCTCTCCAGTCAGGCGGAGGCGGCACCGGCTGTCGTCTTCTTCGCGGTACGGGTGCATGCCAAAGCTGTTGGCTACATCCAAGGGAATGCTTATCCCGCAAAGCCGTAGGAGGGCTTCACGGAACACATCCCGAATGGCAGCTGCAAGGGTGATCCGGGGATGGCGAATCTGGAAAGTGAGCACTTCTTCTCCATCTCCCTGGTAGCGGAGGAAGATTTTCACCTTCCAGATCTCCAAGGATCCTTGGGTGATCCGCTCACAACAATAGACCGGCTCCTGGAAGTACCCTACTTGCTGGAGTAGGTACTTCAACTGTTGGGCATACCCATTAGGGTTTTCCATGGGCTAAGGTTTTTTTGACTGGCTTAGTTCAAGAGGGGGGTGTGCCCTTTTTGAAGTTGCCTTAGGTTCCTTTTATAGGCACTATTTTGTCGGTGGTTCCTGTATCCCATCAGCTGGGTTCCCATTAACATTGCTTGGGAAGGGGCGAGTCTGGATTTTCTGGGATTCTGGATCTGCAGGGTTCATTTCGAATCGTCCTGTGGTTGGTGCGTGTCTTCAATGTCATACCATCCCTCTTGTGGTGTTTCCAAGGTGGCTTTGGATAGAACGGGTGGACTGGTCATGCTAGTTTGAGTAGGTCAGGTGGGGAGGGGTAATTCGAGATGGTTCCCGGTTGTTTTTCTCACTGGCCATATCATGGGCTGCTCAACCGGTTAGACATAAATTGTGAACCACTTCACAAATGAAACCATCGCATGACACAAACATTTCCATAGTGCTATGAATTCAACTGATATTTCTAGAATAATACAAATTATGTGATTATGTTACAGGAAATCATAAGTGCGTAGAAAGCTAAGTGCTAATACATATCTTACATCTGAAATTAGGTAAAAACAAACATCAGCACATAAATATAGTGCTGGTATGACAAAAGCTAGCTACTTGCATGCTAGCTCAGAGGATTGCTGTTCAAACCAACATACTACAGTGGTGCTAGCTCAGAAATCAGTACCTCTATGACGTGAGAACCTCTCTATATACAATGTTCCTCGTGTACGTCCCACGAGACATGGAACGATGGCTCTTGTCCTTGCTTTGTACCGCGAGGATCTTAATGTTCATTCTTGCTGTTGCTCTAGACAATGCAACATACAACTGACCATGAGAGAACACCGGGTCAGGGAGGTACACGCCAACATTTGGAATGGTCTGGCCTTGCGCCTTGTTAATGGTCATGGCAAAGCTAAGTCTGACCGGAAATTGCTTTCTCTTAAAACGAAATGGGAACATCTCATCGTCGGAGGGGCATAGGGGTATCCTAGGAAGGAACACCCTCTTCCCAGCATGTTGACCAAGCACTATCTCAGCGTCGATAGTGTTTCTCTGGAATCCTCGAACCACCAACCTCGTCCCATTACAGAGTCCGTTGGCAGGATCAATATTCCTTAGAAGTATAACGGGGCAATTGATCTTAAGCTTTAGTATGTGCGGAGGCAATCCATTAGGGGTCAACGAATTTAAGAATTCAGGAGGATAGTAGTTGTGAGGATCATCCTCGGCACGATCGAAGCTGTGGTATAACATTTCCTCCCCTCGAAAACGATCGATCATCTTCATGTTTATTTGATCAACATACTCATTTCGTGTTGACAAGATGGCCCGAGATGTGATATAGTTTGGGTCGGCTAGATTAGCATCAAGCATCGGAAACACATTATCTATTAAATTGTTGAGGTCGTCATCATTCCCGGTGCATGGCACACATATCTCATCTGGAAGCCGTATGTAACCATCATCACATGCCTCCTCTATGCCATTGCCAACACGAAGAAGAAATTCGGCAAACCATCGGTCATTTTGCGCTCTCATATTTGTAACCAACCTTAGTTGGCGCATACAATCCCAAAGGTAGGACTTACGTAGTGTTGCATCGGTTATCTGAGGTCTCGTTCCCTTCCGAACAACAGGGAGTACCTGTCTAAAGTCTCCACCGAACACAACTGTCTTCCCCCCAAATGGCACGTCAGGACGGTCCATGATGTCGCGCATGCTTCTATCTAGGGCCTCGACTGCTTGCCGTTTTGTCATAGAAGCTTCGTCCCATATAATTAGGGAAGCTCTCTGGAGAAGTTTAGCTGTCCCACTCTGCTTTGTGAAACTGCATACCCCTCCATCATCAATGTTCAGTGGGATCTTGAATCTTGAGTGGGCAGTCCTACCGCCAGGCATGATGGAAGCAGCTACACCAGACGTCGCAGTTGCAACGGCTATCTTTCCCTGACCACGAATAGTAGCAAGTAGAGCCTTGTATAAAAAAGTCTTTCCAGTACCTCCAGGGCCATCTACGAAGAAGAGACCTCCTTGTCCGCCCTCAATAGCGGATAATATCTCATCATAAGCACATCTTTGCTCAGGGTTGAGTGAACTTGACAAATCCATGTGCCCATGATCCACCTCGATTGTAGACTCCTCAAAGATCTCTCTAGGCTCGCTGCCTGAAGTGTCGTATGACTCATCAATTTCGGGTAGAGGAAACGACGTTATTTCTTTTCCCATCGACTGGAGCATATTTCTAATGTCCAAAAGCACCATCTGCTCAATTGTACGTGGGCACGTGTGAGAACGACGATAGTCATCCAACATTCCCTCCAAGTGCTTGTTCCATAGACCAAGTACGTCACTTGGCTCACAAAAGACCAATATCGTGGCAAAGAGCCTCCGTAGCGATGATGGCATTTGGAACACCTCAGCCTCAGTAAGGCACTCATCTAATGTGTTGTCTGCCTCGATAAGACCCCTTTTTTCTGCAGCTTCACGAAAGGACGAGCAGACTTCACCATCCACTGTCCTAAGGTGTTCAAAGGAGGTGGCGCCAGTCACATGGGTTAGCAGCACCCTAAGGTAGTACCGCTCCCCCTCTGCAGGATGAGCTGTCACGATTCTCCCAATTTGAGTGATTCGCCGTTTCCTCCGTTGCCATACTTTTGGGCCAGCTTGCCAAGTAAATGCCTCTGGAAAATCCTTGTAGAGGATTCCTCGAGCATCTTCGTTAACTTTATTTGCCTCAAAATACTCAGTTAGCATACTCTTCTCGACGCCATTTCTCTCTACGACATCATGGAGATCTTGCCCCGCACGAAATGAGACCATGTGCATGTTTGGAAGATGCAGTTGTAGCTGTTTCACAGGCGGATGTACCTTACTAAGGTCAAAGCTATATATACGCCATAGTGCTTCTGGTGGGGTGACCCACCTTGCATCTCTATATTGTTGAATCTCATCAATGTTGCCATTGCTATCGGCCTCGCCTAGGGTGACAGATGCTCGATCATGCCCCTTATAAATGTACTTGAATAGGTATTTCACAGCCTTGATGCTGGAGCAAACCTCCACATTGATGTGGCAATTGTACATCCTTAGGAGGTAAGGATTGTAGGGCACTACCCACCTGTTGTCCAGCATCTGCTTTCGAACCTTAGCACATCGCTTGTTATCGCGTCTCCTGTACACAGGGTAGGAGTCCTTGCCATTTATGGTAACCGCGTTGAAAGCTCGAGGATAGCGGTTTTTGCATGAACCGTCTTGCATGCACACATTTTTACGATTTAGAGTCCCACATGGGCCATGCATCATATGCTTGACGACCATCTCGTACAACTCTGGATACTTATGCTTGTTTGGAAGTTCAGCGGAAATGATACAATCATATTGCTCGGGAGAAGTGAGCTTGTATTTTCCGTCCATGATCAAAAGGAAATGTGCATGTGGAAGACCCCTCTTTTGGAACTCAACCACATACGCATAAGCAATCACTTTGCCAAGGATATGCTTCTCAAGTAATTGTTTCTTGAGGTCCTCTAGTTTCGCTCGAAACACGCGCACTATGAGATCAGGCCTATCTTGGGGTGTCTGCCCAGGCTCAAGGTTACCTATTATCTCTTCCCAGTTAGGGTTGCATGTCATTGTCAAAAAAATGTCCGGCTTCCCATATTTTTGCACTAATGCCATAGAGTCCATATACCGACGCTTCATGTCCCGATTGCCCCCAATGAATGATGCTGGGAGCACAGTACGTTTGCCTACCTGGCTTGCACGGCTCTCTCCAGCATGAATGCTATCAACCACACCTTTGTATAGGTCAGCCCTTATCTCTACCTGGTGACGCCTTATGAAGTCTAGTCGAGTGCTTTCTACTTTGATGTACATATCAACTGCAAATTGTTGGAACAAGCGCTTCCCATACAATAGTGGATTGAATATACCACGACGCATTTGGAATTTGTAGCAATAGTAGTCTCTAACGGAGACACATAGTCTGCTATTTGAATCTGCACAAAGAATGAGAGCAAAAATATCGTAAGAGCTAAGGAAGTAAACCATCACATAAAAAAGGATGAGCTAGCAATACATGGATGGAAATGATAACCTGAGTCAGCATGATTATTTCCACGAGATGCAATTACATCATCTATGGACACACCTACTTTTGGGATTTCTGGGTGCCATCCGAGCTCGCCTTTCGGAAAGAAGAGAGGGTATGACAGTGGGTCGTAGCATCCGTAATATGACTGGATGTTGTACTTGGTATTGTTGTTCCCATATAGCACAACACTACGTTCGAAATGTGTACGCAGTTCATTCCCCTCTACCCACACGGCAGCCACTTCCGAAGTCACCGGCACATTATACTGCCTCTGGTCCAAACGATTATCAAGATTTAGTGTGACACGATATTCCTCAAGGTCATCAGCTTGCGCTAGACTTCTGAAGGTTTGGGAGTAGGGGTTGCCATGAAGGACTTCAACAAGTCTTCTAACAACTTCTTGGTCAAGGCTAGGGGAGCGACGAAACCGATGATTTAGACTTGGATCGTCATCATAGAAGTATAGCTCAAGATGTTCTGGGGCATTATCTCGCTGCCCAAAAGAGTGTATGTTGTGGTATATCTGGCCGTGGGCTCGAAATGTGTAGACGCCTGACCTCATATTGGTGTAGCGCTCATCAAGGCTCACACCAAGGGTGGTGAAAGAAAAATGTCCATTGAAGAATCTTATGTTGTCTCGAAAATGTGTCGCATCAGAATCCATGCTTGACCAGAGCCTCATTAGTTCAGGGGGTGTTTCCAAATTAGACAGTTTGATCTTTCCGCCCCGGCAACAAAACCCGTTTGTCTCATACTGGAACTTCTTAGCACCACAATGCTTGCAATTTGCTGTGGGCTTCAAGACATGTGTGTTACGAGGTATGTTACTGTACACATGGTCGTAGGGATCATGTTCAACTGAGTCATGTTCTATTTCATTTAAGTCTATGTCCTCCTCATCTTCCCCATCTGTAGGGATTTGGTTTAAGGAGTCACAATATGCACTACAAGATATGGAAAGAAGAGAACTATGCCAAAAATACCTCCACCAGCAAACATATAGTACTCGTCATCGTCATCGTCATCAAAGTCCATATCTGGATGGATTTAGTTTTGAGTCACACTACGCTCTACATGATATAGAAAAGAAGGAGAGCTCTGCCAAAAATACCTTCACCAGCAAACATGTGGCACTCATCATTTATGTCATCTTCATGGGTAGTTTCCATCGTAACTGCCACTTGTGAGAGTAAGGTACATGCACATCTATTCTATATTTTTATAAAAGTAATAAGAAAGCGAATATTACCATCATCCATAAGAAATGATTGTGGTGTGGACTCTGCACCATTAAGGTTGTGTGAAGATGATGGATTTACCGCGGATGAAGCACCAAAATTCGGGCATTCCATCGCGATGGATTCAAGACATGGTGTATCCCGTCTAGCTGCATCGCTTGTATTCCGTCGATCTAGCAATGCTTGCCTCTCATTAGGCGGTAAACTTTGCCTAGCTGATCTTCTACGGGCATTCAACTCTTGCCTCTCATCAGGTGTCAAACGTTGCCTATGAGCTTTTCGGCGGGCACTTTCTTTTTGCCTCTCACTTGGTGTTGCATTTTGTCGCTTTGCTCTTTGACGATCTAACTTTGCTTGCCTTTGTTCCGGTGTAAGGCTAGCATAGCGAGCCACGTGACGAGAATGTTCCCGTGCTAAAATAGATTCATTGAATAATTTTATTTGTGTACTGTGTTATGTAAAAAAAGAATGCTTATAGTTTTAGGTCGATACCATTTGAGCTTTCTCCCTGGTCCAAAACGTGAACCGATGTAAAGGTACTTCCTTTTGTTCTGTTGGATTTATTCTCCACTGCCAAAACAATTCGTTACCACCACCATGAGCGTGGGGATGTATTCAATACTCATATAAAATGTATTGTTACAAATATTTAATACTCATGCAAATGTACTGTTATAAATAATTTGGAGGGCGCAAAGCACCTTGTTTTCCTTTACAAGAGTGTTTGGTAGGAGGACGTGTCATTACTGAAAGGTGAAAGTAATATGTTAGCATATAAGAAAGAAGTAGCCTGGCCTGCAGTATTACATTAGCCACAAGTTGCAGCTAACAATTCTTATTATGTTTGTCCAACTCCAACATTCTTTCAGTCCACACCCAACAATTATATTCTATTGGGCAGTCAACAGTAAAAATGAGCTCATGTTAAATGACTGTATATCCTTAAAAACAGTAAAAATGAGCTCATGTTAAATGACTATATATCCTTAAAAATGGGAAGAACAAACATCAATTTAAATCATTTTGTTTTTCAAATTTTCATTTGATCAACAGATGACAGGTCAAATGATAGTAAAGGCTAGCTTGTCTCATTCAGCTATCTGATCAAAGGATACAAGCAAATGTGTACTATGTATGACCACATCTATCTGATTGTCAAAGGATACAAACAAATGTGTACTATGCATGACCACATATAGTAGCTGGCTGCACATATTTCTCTGATCATTGTGGGACATGGAGTTAGCTTGTGATATACTCATAAATGCCCCTCCACAATATTAATCAGTTAGTGATTAGTGAATAATTAGTTGATTTGCTTGCACAGTAGAAACAGAGAGAGAACCGGCGGCTTGGGGCGGCGGCGACGGCGCCTTGGGGCGGCTCTGCTTCTTCGCGGGAGTCGGGCAGCGGCAGCGGCTTGCACGAGAGAGACGGAGAGACAACCGGCGCCTTGGGGCGGCGGCGATGGCGCCCTGGGGAGGCTCTCCTTCACGGCAGAGGGGCGGCGGAGGCGGCTTTGGGCGGCACGGATTCTTCGCGGGAGAGGGGCGGCGGCGGCGGCGGAGGGCCGGCGCGACGGCGCGGAAGAAGCAGCGCGGGATGGCCGGCGCGGCAGCAGCGGCGGGGGATGGCTGGCGCGGCAGCAAGGGAGGGGCGGCGACGCTACGATGAGGCGAGAGAGAGAGAGAGAGAGAGAGAGCTTGCGCGGCGAGGTAGCAGCTGCGCGGGAGGGCCGGCGCGGCAGCGGCGGCGGCGGTGGCCGGCGCGGCAGCAAGGGAGGGGCGGCGGCGCTTCGATGAGGCGAGAGAGAGAGAGAGCTTGCGCGCACGGTGAGGCGAGAAAGACGAAGAGGAGACAGAGCGAGAGAGAAGGGGAGGCGCTTTTATTGGTGAGCGGCTTCGCCGCTTCGGTGGGAACGGACACCACGCTTAGAGTCTTTTT